TCCACAGATCTTCCAAACCCGCCTGGATGCCGCCCTGTGCCACGTGCTCTGGGTGCCCCTGCTGGAGCAGCGGGGTTGGAGTAGGTGATCCCTAGAGGTCCCTTCCAACCCCAACCATTCTGTGAATTCCCACCTGCTCCTGGGATCCCACTGGCAACTGGCACTCCCTCCATGCGAGCGCAGCAGGTACAACCAGTCCAAAGGGGCCATGGGTTTTGCTAACGGCTGCTTTATTAGAGCTGCAGTGCAAAAGGCCCCCGCGGCGTCGCGGCGCACCGACGAGCGTGGCATCCGCTGGGCCCGGCGCTAGTTCTTGCCGCACGGGAAGGTGGTGCTGATTTTCCGGCAGTAGCAGAAGGCGTTGAAGAAGCGGCAGTAGCAGGTGGCGCAGGGGTCGCAGCAGGGGACCTGGTGGCCAAGGCAGGACTCCAGGAGGCGGACGCAGCGGCGCGGGGAGCGCTCCTCTCGGCCCGGTGCTTGCAGCGCGGTGGAGAGCGCCTGGCATGGAAAGGAGTTGGGAAAAGGGATTTAATGGTGGGAAGCAGGACCGGCAATAAAGAGCTGCTTGGAAGAGCACGGGGATGTCCCCTGGCTCATTCCATGACTGTGCATGGAAGGATATTCCACCCTGGTTCTGCTTCAGTCCCGCTTCCTTAGTGTGGCCAACTACAGAAAACTCCAAGGGGGCACCGAGGTCCAGTCCGTACAGCCTCATGTGTCCAAGGAACCTCCATGTCAAAACAAATGAGGTTTGCCAGGACCCACGAACACCTGACTTCACACCCTCAACCCACACTTGGGGCTCAGCACGGCAGTGTCCCTGAAGCTGTGGAGGTGACAGAGCTGGAGAGGTCGGTGGCTGCTGCGGGCACAGCCGAGAGCTGTCCCCTGCAGAGGAGCCTGGGTTACCTGCCTTGTGCACAGATGCAAGAGAGAGAGAACTTGGTGTGTCTATCTGCTCTCTTGGGCAGAACCCAAGGGGACAATTCCAGTCTGGTTTTATAGTAGGAATGGGTCATTTGGACCCTCCAATTAAAGGAGGAGGTCAAGGTTTTCCTGCAAATACTTGACAGTTATTAATAGTGAATTCACTACTCCCATCCCGCTGGGCTGGAAATGTTCATTTCATACTCCTCAGAGTCCTCTCCAATTTTGACTGATTCGCCTGGAGAAATTTAGAAAGAATATATCTCATGCCCATTTGTCATTACTGATATGTCTGGTGAAGAAGGTTCAGTTCATAGTTTCAGAGGAAATTAGATGGAGAATACTTCCCTGGCTTCTAAACTTTCCTCCCTTCCAGGCAGCTCTTCTGCCTAGTCCCTGCAGCAGCGTTCCTGGTAGGAATGGGCTTTCTAGGCCCCTTTCCTTCCAACTTTCCAGACCCTCAGCATTCACATACTCCTCAGCAGACCACAAATGTAATCTCCCTTCTCAAGCACCCATCAGGTTTGGTGGTTTTTCCAAACCAGTCCTGGCCCCAGATACAGAGAAGCCTGACACAGCATGGAGCAGTCCTGATCTTTGGAGGTTTTAAGAAAAAGTTTATAGGGCATTACCTGTGGTTCCAGCACACCACCTTTCTGCTCAAGGTTTCCATCAGCTTCCTGGACTTCCAGGGCCATCTGATCAAACTCAAGCCTGGGAAGAGCTCCTGTTAAATACAGAGAGGCTGGACAAGGTGTGCAGCGCGTGCAGGCTGCTGGCTGAGGGTGTCTTCCTCGGGCTCAGCTCTCCATGGTCCAGGGGAGCTTGGGCACAGAGAATGAATGGTTAAAGGTATAACTTAATAGTGCTGCACCTTAGAGGGGAAAAGCCAGCCCAAGTTGTGATTTGGTCATATTTCTGGACAGAAAATGGCTTCCATCCCTTTCCTGTGAAACATGATGGGATGGGGACTGTATGGAGCTTTCTGCAGGTCCCAGCTCACAAACGAAAGGACCTGTTGCAGGGCAGAGGAGTCTCCATGTGTGCAGGAATACATGAGGAAAAGTGCTGGCTCCAGGCAGGCCTTGGAGTCCTTGGGAGGGAAGGATAGAGGGAATCTCACCAGAAGGGATAGGAGAGGCTGCAGTTAACCCAGGGACTGGGGACCGCAGCAAGTGGGTGGCCAGGACTCACCCACTGGCTCCTCAGACACCTCCTTGACTTTACGCAGCAGGCTGGAGTAGCGGGCTCTGTCAGCCCCATCCAGCCCAGCGCTCATCTCCTGCACGTGGCTGCGGCCGAGGTCCGAGGTGAGGATGGCCTGGATTCCTTGCAGCAACCCGTAGCACAGCAGCAGCACGTTCAGCATGGTGCTGGGACAACCTGCACAGGGGGATCACCGTGGGGGTCAGTCCTGGCCTGCTCCCCAAGTCTCTGAATCAGCCCAGTGCTTTCACCCAGTCTTAGTGCAGGGCTTACTTTCCCTTCCTAAGTCATGGGCAAGTCATTCAGATTTTCGGCTCCCGATGACTTCTGCAGTGGTGGCTCCACTGCTGGGCACAGGGCTCCGTTGTTTTGGGGACTTTTGATTTTCACTGTAGATGCTAAGGCTGCTATGGGATGGTGAGAAGTACTTTGCAGTGGGGAAGCAAGTGGAAAGTCTGTGGCTGTGAGATCCTTCCCAACTCCCTAATCTTTGTAGGGATAAGATACATCAGAGAGGAGAAAAGACACAGTTCAAAGAGAATATTGGGATTTCTTGGGAGATTTAATCCAAACACATACCCCTCCTCCGAAAGGAAAAACGTGGAGTTAAAATACTGCAGAGAAGGTGGGAGAGAGTTAGTTTGGGAGGAGGACCACATGGGGCAGAGCCCAGTGCCCTTTTTGGGGCATAGCTGAAAAGCTGCTCGGCCCCCAGGGCGATGCCAGCTACTCCTTACCTCCCCAGTCCCCCCAAGCCACCCAGTCCTTTGTAGTGAGAAAACTCCTCTGCCCCAAGGGGACCTCTCTGCCTTCAGGTGCCCTGAACGCCCAGCCCTGCTCACCCGAGTCGCAGCTCTCCTCATGGAAAGCCCGGAGCTCTTCAGATGCAACCAGGACTTACCGCTCCGCCGGGCTCCCTGGGAAGGCGGCAACGCTGTCTCTGCCCAGACGTCCTCCCAACATGTTGACTGGAGTTTATATTGGTTTTCTATTAATTAAGTGCTGCAGCCACGTGACTCTGCTAACTACCAGGTAGGTGGGCTTCTCTGAAAACCAGGCTTTGTCTGCACGGAGAGACGGCCAGCGAGGCAATGAGCAGGCGCGGGGACGCGTGCGCGGTGCCTCTCTGCACCCTGCATGGCTCCTCTGTCACCCCAAACCCCCCATTTGCTCTGGGGGTGCCAGTGCCGGGCTCCTCGTGCAGGGTCCAGACAGAGCTGCCCTTGGTGAGACGCTGCACAGACACTGATCCTGGGGGAAGGTGCCACCTCCATCCGTGCTGGCCCTGCAATGGTGCAGCTGGGTCAGATTCCCTGCTCTCTCCTCCTCCAAGGGCAGGGATTTTTCCCCAAGTGGGTTTTTATGGGGATCTTTAAAACCGGGTTTCCTCCCTCATTCTCCCACATGATCGTTCATGGTGCCCATGGCTGGGAGGAGGCGCGATGCCAGGGAGACCTCCTGCTGTACCCAGCCCAATTCCACCATCCCAGAAACCTCTGAGCTCGTTGCAGCTCCCTGCTGCTCCATAGCTGCCCCATCTTCCCTCCACGGCCCTTCGCTTTCCAGCCATATCTCAATGGCATCTAGACCGCAGTCTCTCAGTTCCCAGCTAAAGAAATACCAAAGCTATGGACTCCTCTACCAAGATGCAGGGCTTTCAAAGGCAAAATTACATATGAGGAGCTCCTGGCACAAATCCAGATGGAGTTCAGAGTCTGTTTACAGTCTTCAGAAGCCCTGTGCTCCTGCATCTCTCACGCATCCACTCCCTTGAAAGCCCACAGCTTCTCAGAGCCCAGTTCTCGGAGGGATTCCTGTCCATACCAAGGGCTCAACTCCACCGTGGGAAAGGCAGGAGAACGGGCTGCACTGTTACCTTCAGCCGCATGCCTGGCTCTCGCAGCCACATCCTGCACCTTGAGCTTGTTGCTGCTGTCAGGCGCTTCATTGCCACTCCAAAACCCTTCAGGAGCAGCGCAGCCGCAGGGACAAGTGTCAGCATGCGCCACCGATGTCCCATCCCACCTGCTTGGACCCCCATCTGCTGTGCCCCATTCTCCTCCAGATCCACGTCGCTGCTGGAAGAGGCTCTGTGCATTGCAGGCCCCCATGGCCAACTTCTATGGGATGGCAGCACCTGAATGGGGAGATCTTCATGGCCGGCACCCAGCTGGGTCCCCCTGTGCAAACTACCCCCTCCATCCCCACTCCAGTTCCTGTTGGAGGCGCCGAGCGCCTTGTCCCCATGCCCAGGCTCCTCGACACACAGGGCCATTCCACCTGGGGCAGCTCGGGCTTCCTGGCTCCCCACTGCCCCAAAGAGAAGGGGCTGCACGGGAGCCCACGGGCAGCTCACGGCAGCCCCTGGAAC